TCCTCCTAACCCAATACCATGTTCAGCCTTCATTCTGGGTACAGTAGTTCCTCGCGGTTTTCTTGACCTTGGTCACTCCCTCCCATTCCTCCCATCCTCTCCCTACCGTTGGTTTTGAACCATTTGTTGTTCTCTGAACAGCATACCTTTTGACACAACACTAGACCAAGGAACTCAAACAAATCCAAAAGGGTCACGTAACCAACCTATTAAGTAAATAAAGTTTATGACCCTCGGGATGACTAAGGAAAGCGGGTGTTTCCATTTCTTCAATTGGCCGATGTTACTTCAATATACTGGTCCTTCTAAAACTTAGTAATTAGAATAGTATGTCATGAAAATACACATACCAAAACAATCTTGACTACAGGTATTCCACTCTTCGTAAAAAGCTCGATTTCCACTACTTTGCTTTTATGAAAGACCTACTTTCGTACCACTTTTCGCTAACCTAAAGAAATTTGAAAAGGATTTTTGCTTTTACCAAAAAAGGTGAAACACTAGATTAGCATTTAGCATTTTACAGCTTTTAAAAAGTCAGGGCATGCCTAAGCATCAAGAGTCGGGTCACCAAGCTCCTCCCTGAAAACTACACTCAGCATCAGGTAACCAAAGTTTTGAACTGTGTCTGTGAACAGCATGTGTTAGTACTAATTTATATTTTGTGTGTTATTTGGCAATGTAGTTAGTAAGTTACTTTTTGGGGTCTGGGATGGCTCAAAACAATTTCCCATATAAATTAATATTGCTTCTCCTCTTTATGACACTTTGGCTTGTGAAAGGTTTCACAGGAAGACTCTACTTTTGGATAGTGGCGGAAACCTGTTATCATTTTATAAAACACACTTTAAGAACCAGATGCCCATTTTAGCAACAATCAGCTGCTGGTGCTATGAATATGCTTTTTCTTTTTTCCATTAAAATGAGTTTCAGAAATTACTGGTGGACAACTTCCAAAATCTTTAAACAAGCTGACCCTGAACATGTCCCTAAAAAAACAACACAAAACCGAACTCACTGCCATCGAGTCATTAGAGAGAGGGACAGACAGACAGACAAAGACACACTGGCCTCTATAGAGTGCTATATATTTTGGTCACAATTCCAAGTGTGATCATCAGGCTGCCACCTGAATGACAGACTAAGCTCTACCCCTACACTTTTATCTCTCTCCGAGTTGGCATGAACTTATGTAACTACCACGGTTTAAAATTAAAACATGGATTCAGTTAACTGCCAAGAACTTGGCAATTTACTTAATTCCTGCTGTACCATTAGGGTGTTGAGGGGCTCACTAAGGACAGAGTCAAATGGAAAGCAACTATCCAAGTATTTACGTTCATTCACTTACTGCGGATGTGGAAGCAGGTGGCAAAACACAACAAAACCAAAACAACAAGGGATGCTGGCTCCCCAGTCTTTCACATTTCTCCCAAAGAACAGCGGAGAAGAAGATCATCTCACGACAGGGGGCCCTCCTTACGGAGCAATGTAATGTGCAGCCTAAGATTAAGGTCCAATATTTGGCATCTGAAAAACTGGAGGGCCAGGAGTGGCCAAACAGCCAAGTCCCCTTCCCTACTGGGCTCCTGTGGAAAGCCCCTCCAGGTGCAGCCTCCCCGTTTACATTTTCTTCAGTTGTAGGTTTCAGTTCCCCGAGTGCCTGCAGAATGATTCAAACAAGCTGTGAACTCACATCTTAGCGGCGCACCTGGAGGCCCACCATCGTGATATTACCAAGTCGGCTTGCTCAACAGCCCCTGCTTGTTTCCTCTGTTCCTAAGGGCCACCCTTGTGTGGTCTTTTGGTGTCCTAAATCCCTGAGCTGTGAGTCTATGTGACTAATAATACTGAAGCCCGGGGATCGCGCCAATGTCGGGCGTCACGTGTCCAGTCATTTAAAGGGCAAACCGAAGAACAAAACGGAAACACACACACGCTGTACATCTGTTTAAAGGGCTCAACCAGAAAATTACGACAGCAGGGAGATCAAAAAACAACAAAAACCTAGCCTCAATGAACACCAATGGTCGTCTCAACGGCCAGCATTCTGACTTAAAAATGGTATTCCCAAAGGAAATGCACGGGAAACGAAAAGATCGGCGGGAAACTTGGCCAACTTTCCGTTGGGGCGTCCTCTGCGGCCTTTTCCACAACCTTTCCCGCATCCAGGGTTCTGCCGCTCCAACCCCTCGTCGCTCTCTGGGCCCGGAGCCCCCACGGCTCCTTCCCGAGAGCTGCGCGGGCCGGCGCACCGACAGCCGGCGGCCACCCCCCAATACGCAGCAGGGACCTCCAAATCCCGTCCCAGGAAAGGTAGGGCCAGGGTGAAAACGGGTTGGGCCGCGGCCAGGGAAACGAAACTGCAGCAGGTGAAAGAACCTCCCCAGGGACAATCGGCGATCCCTCTGCACCTTCTCCTCCCGGACCCCCGCGCTGAGGAGGACGGAGAGACGCTGAGGTCTTGGCACCCCGATTCTGGGCCGCCGGGCACCTTGGCAGGGTGGCGCTAGCTCCGACGTTCCCCAGAGGGGTGCCCACCTGGAGCTGGCTTCCGGAACTCCTCCGCACACACGTGAAGCCCGCAAGGACTCGGCAGCAGCAAAGCTCCGGGACCCGGCGCCAGGGAGGCGCGGAGAGCGTCCGCGGGGCGGGGCCGGCGCGGGCTGCGCGCGCACGCGCACGCGCGGTTGGCAGGGACGCTGGGAACGTGGTCCGGCTGGAAACAGACTCCCCGCCCACCTGCGGGCCGGCTCGGCTCCCGGACGCAGGGGCGACGGTGTTGAGGGGCGCGCTGCGCACCCCCACCTTTCTCAGCCTGATCAACGGTGCATTTGTCATCTCACTTTGAACCTGAACTACCCTGGAGCTTGGAGCAGTGGGCCCAAGGCCTGACTGGAAAACCCACAGTCAAAACGCCCTTAGCTAATTCTGTCTACGAAGAGGACTGGTGATAATAAAATGGCATTTATTAGGGACTTTCTGTACCAGAACTGACTTAAGTACGGAGGACAGCCTGAATAAATATTACAGTGGTCAGGGTTCTTGGTGGGCAAACAGAAGTGGACTCCACTCCTGGCTCTACCAATAGCCTGTCGCTATGGATCTTGATATCTACGATGTCCAGGGTTCAGCATCTTAGTCTCTTCGCATTTCCCAGATAACTGTTAGGTAGCTAGTTTAGGGACAAGGGGGTTTTACCTCTCATACCTGCAAAGGCCCCCATAGAGGAGGTTGCAAAGAAATCAGGCAACCATTGAACACCTATGAAGACCCCAATCTGAGCATGCTCATACTCAAGCCCCCAGCCAGATGGAGGTACACCTGGACGCCCAAACTAGGCCCAGGCTCATGACATCACCCAGTGGGGTCCACTAATACCATCAACCACGCCTTCCCCAGCCTGAGATTTGAAATATTCTGGCCGTGGGAATCGATCACAATGATCTATCTATAACCCCCTCCCAGGGGGATGGACAGCAGAAAAGTGGGGGAAGGGAGACAATTATCAAGGGTTCATGAGGGTGGGGGAGGGAAAAACGAGCTGATACCAAGGCCTCAAGTTAAGTCAAGTAGAAAAAAGATGTTTTGAAAATGATGAGGGAAACATTACAAATGTGTTTGATACAATGGATGGATTGATTGTGATAAGAGCTGTAAGAGCCCCCAATCAAGTGATTAAGAAAAAGAAAGAAATATCCTGGCTGTGGGAAGGCCTCTCTCTCTTCTACCTTGTCTAGTCTTGTGGCAGTTTGGAGGGTGGGGACACATACGTGCTCCCCTGGGTGTTCCCCCTCAGGGCTCGCTCCGGGCCTTCTCAGGGCCAGGTGTGCTTGGGGTCCTAGGCTCTTTCTCTCTTGTGGGGGAAATGCCAGCCCTCCAACAACTAATCTTAGGTTCAATAGGCGCAATTATATGGTTAAGATATAGAGATTATAATAAAGTCACAGAGAATAATAGGAGAAAGTAAAATAAAGAAGGCAGACACATTTCATGGTAGCATGCTCACCTCAGCCCCACTTGGTGGTCCACATGGAGAAAGCGTGAGCAGGAGTGGGACTTTATTGCTAACCAAGGCTTATGTCTACTTAAGGGGTATGATTACAGGTAACCACACGTCACAGGAAGGGGGTGTACAATAGGCAACACGAGCAATGGGAGGGGGATATACAATGGGCATAAGCTTAACAGGAAGGGAATGAGCTGGGGGTGTACACATGATAGGAAGGGGAGGGACTAAGGGTGTACATGTGACAAGAAAGGCGGACCCTAGACTAAATATGGCAGCCTAACCTTGGTCACCCTTGAGTGGGCTTGACCTCCCTGGGCTCTCCTTCAGGGAAACTACTACTATCCTTATCAGAAGGGAGTAGGCCCTACTTGTTGTGGGACAAATAGTGGTGACTGCTTGCTCTGGATGGCTGATAACCCTTAGGGAGAATAACCCCTGACCTGCTTCTGTTGACCTCCAAGTGTATAGTCATTCGCCATGTGTAGCAAGCAGCTAAGTGTGGCATATATTTGGGGGACAACTTGGAAGAAATATTTCTGTTTCCCACACTCTCTTGTCCCCTTGCTCTCTCTCTTGCCCTACTCCTAGTCAGCAGCAGGTGGAGAGTGAGGGTCTCCCTCCCATGCACAGGTGCACATGCACCAGCTCAGGGCCTACAGCCTCTTTGCCCACATGAGCTTAGCCTCTATGGTTCTTGGGCTTCTGGCCTTCTGAGATCCCCCCAAGCTCCGCACATGTGGGTGCTCTTTTCCATGTGGTTGTTTGTGTCCACTTTTTTCTTCTTCATGTCCAGTTGTGAACCCCAGCACGGCTTGGTACTCTTCCCAGAAATAGCATGAACCCTTTTGAGACTGTAACACCTGAAACTTGTCCTGTCCTTCATAAAAGCCCACTTGGATCACACAACATGCTTCGGCATGAATTCTTTCAGTGGGTGAAGCAAAGAACTTGGGTATAACCCACTCCAGACACCTAACATAACGAGTAGATGAAGTGTATGTTTCAATGTTGGCTACTGTTACATTATTACTATGTTAAAAACTCATAACTTCATGTAGCATGACATTAAAGATGAAGAAAACAGACAATCAAGATGAGATTTGAACACAGGAGCCCTAGTGAAGTAGTGGTTACATGTTGGGTAGCTAGCTGCAATTTCAGCAGTTAGAAAACATCAGCTCACTCCGTGGAGAAAGAGGCTATCTGCTCTTGTAGAGACTTACAGTCTCAGAAACCCACAGGGGCAGTTCTGCCGTGCCCTATAGGGTCACTATGAGTTGAAATCAACTCCATGGAGTTTTGAGTCTGATACCAAGGAGCCCTGGTAGAGTATTGCTTACATGTTGGTCTGCACAAGTCAGCAGTTGGAAATGACCATCTGCTCCGGGGTAGAAACACAAACCTTTCTACTACTGTAAAGAGCCCACAGGAGCAGGTCTACACTCTTTTGCATGGTAACTAGGAGTCAGAATCTCAACACCATGGCAATGAGTTGTTTTTTCTTTTTTGAATCTGATACTGAACCTGCACTTGAATTCACTGTTGTTGTTGTTGTTGTTGTTGTTAGATGCCATCGTGTTAGATCCGACTCGTAACTACACTCTGTAGAGCAGAAACACTGCCCCAACCTGAGCTGTCCGCACACGTGTTGTTATGCCCAAGAGCATTGTTGCAGCCAATCTGTCAATCCGTCTAGGGCCTTCCCCTTTTTTGCTGCCCCTCTATTTTAACAAACATGGGGTCCTTCTCCAAAGACTGGTTTCTCCT